TGATCCACTTTATTATGTAAAGTATTATTTTACTCTTGCTCTGAAAGGCAATCCTGATTGCTTTAAAAAGATATCACTATGCTTTCACTTATTTGACATATTTAAATGAAAACTTTCATAATGCCAAGCCACTATTTGATAGTTTCATAATTGCTAACAGATAAGGAAAAGAGGTTAAATAGATACTCAGTCAAATAAAATTGAGTTTTTGAACATTTATTTTAATTTCAACATATATTTTTCTTTGGGAAATGTTTGGTATTGCAATCCACTTGTCCTTACATACACACATTATAGTCTCTATTCTTTTCACTTTATTGTAAGTTATATTACCTTTATACTTCAACAAATCATTTTGTATTCATAGTCCACTTTTGTATATTCAGAACATAACGCAACAGTAGAGGCAAACAACAATGTGCTCCTCTGAATGTTTTACAAAAAGAAACACTCAGGAAATTATTTAGCTCTCCTGACCTACTGCCTATGTACTGGAATCAAGCCAAGCCTAAAGTAACGAACACATCCCTCATAGCACTTGAGCAACCATTATTAAGGATGAAACGGCTTCTCTGATGATGGTATCATAACTAATCTTATATGTCCTATTATTAAATGTAGTGCACAACTGCTTCATCCCTTTTCCTCTAGAATAGCTAAACTGATTATGAATCAACTGATACTTAGCCAAGTTTTAACCCAGGTCACAGACTCTGCTTTCAGCAACATTCATTAGTCCATTGGCTACCTAAAGGCAAAGATTTTCACCTACTCCTTTACTATCATGTACCTTGTCTGTTGAGACCTAATAAAAGATCACAGCCACCCCTAAGTGTGTATATTTCTTTCATCTTCCTGACATCCTATTGACTCCCATGGAGGTAAATCATAAAGCACTAGTTGCCAATATAGTTTAGCCAATTTGCATTTCTATCTCTTATTTCTACTTTCCTGATAGAAAATTTTTCAGTGAATATTGCAGGAGTCTTCAAATTTAATATATACAACAGATCTATTTCTGTTCACTACTTTACATCACACACAAGTCTGTCTCACATTCTCCTGCCATTTGTAAAACTACTGTGGTAACATACCGGGCTCAACCCTTGAATATTGTATTTCCCATTTCTCTTATTTTTACTGTCAAGAGTAAAGCTCTATTATCTTTTTTTAAATGATTTTTGTTATAATAATGGTTAAATTAAAAATATAATACCAAGTTACTTTAAGAGCCAATATGATCCAAAGCTGCATAATGAAATAGTTGATGCCTAACCCAAATCCCACATCCTGCTTCCTTTGCATATTTAGTTTTAAAACACTGGTCTATGACACAATGACGACGATGCCAAATTGATTCTTCAAGCCCAAATTCGTGTCATGTTTTTTCCATTTTCACCACAACTATTCATAGCTCAAATCCACACTATTAAAATAGTGTTTTATATGTTTTGATAACTCTATTTTATCCACCATCCATTCTGCTAATTTCTAATATATTGATAATGAAAATCATGTTTGATTTTGCCCCCTCCAAAATACACAAAACACTGATTTTTCAATTAAATAATGTCTTAAGCTCTCCATTTTAACATTTGTACATCTTGTATAATTGCTAAAGCATAAAATAACAAAATGCTTTTTTTAAAAAAATAGCAAAGCATTCATTGGTACATTTTAGGCATATATAATGATAACATTTATCATAGGTAATTTGCACCTGTACATGATACATCCCACTTCTTTGAAAATAATAACTTATCCATTACTAATAATATTATCTTACCTCTGAGACTTCTTTATGTACAGAATAACATGTGAACACTTAAAACAAACTTTCTATTTATAAAACTACACACACCAACTGGGCACAGTGGTGTATGCTGGTAATACCAGCAGTCTAGGAGGTTATGACATAATTACAAGTTTGAGCCCACTGAGACAATTTAGCAATTTATCAGGACCCTGTCTCAAAATTTAAAAATTAAAAAAAAGGACTTGGGATATACCTCAGTGTGAATGCCCCAGATTCAATTCTCAGAGTTTGCAAAACAAAACAAAAAACAAACAATAAAAATACAAACCTACGTTCTAAATACTTTCATTACTCCTCCAAGTGCTCTCTGCTTTCTAGTCCAAGGAAGTATATCCTATTCCGTATAAAATCATTTTCTGTGTATCTCAACTGCCAATGTTTTTCCCAATACTATTCCTCTGTCCATGCAATATTTGACTCTTACATCATGAGTGCATCTTTTATTAAAAAATTCTACAACCAGCACTAATAACTGACTTCTATAAATTCCCCAAACACATAGGGAATTTGTTTCTCCTGGCAGCCTGCAAACCTTTCTTCATAGTGTAGTTATCTTGAAAATATATTTTAGAGCAATTGTAAGTTCATAGTAAAATTGAGCAGAAGGTATAGAGATTTCCCATCTATCCTCAGCCCCACACATGCCCAGCTTCCCCCCACTACCAGCATCCCACACCAGAATGGTACATTTGTTGTAATCAATGAACTTAGCTCCACATATCACTAGCATTCAAAGTCTATAATTTACAGTGAGGGTCACTCTTAGGTTTTATGCTTTATAGGTCACAACAAATATATAATGATATGTAGCCACTAATACAATATAATGTAGAATACTTAAAGTACCCTAAAAATGTTCTGTGCTCTGCTTATTCATCACTCTCTTCTCTTTAACCTCAGGAAACCTATGATCTTTTGTTCTGTTTCTAATATTTTGTCTTTTAAAAGTGGTTTCTTATACTTAGTTATGTGCATTTAAGTTTTTCTGTGGTGGCTGATTGATTGTACTGGGACTGAATCCAATGCTTTTGCACTAAGGTACTTTCCAAGCCCTTTTTTTATTTTTTATTTTGAAACAGGATCTTGCTAAATTTCCCAGGCTGGGCTTCAACTAGCAATCCTCCTGGTTCAGCCTCTCAGACTACTGTAATTACAGGTTTTTCTTTTTGTTAGTTTTTATTCTTTTAAGTGCTGAAAATACTTAATTATTTAGATGTACCTGTAAATGTATCCATCCATCTATTCAATAGTATAGCTTCCAATATTTTGGGAATTTTTAATAAAGATTCTATAAACATTCATGTGCAGATTTTTGTATAACATAAGTTTTCAGTTCATTCAGATAAACAGCAGAAAGTATAATTCTGGATTCTGTCTCTGGGTTTCTAAGAAACTACCAAACTGTTCTACAAAGTGGCTATGTTATGTTGCATTTCCACCATCAATGAAGCAGAGTTTCTATTGTTCTACATTCTCACCAGTGTTTGGTATAGTCAGTGTTTTAGACTTTTGCCATTCCAATAGGTGGTACCTAATAATGGTATCTCATTGTGATTTTAATTTGTAATTTCCCAATAACTTATGATGTTGAGTAGTTTTTGCTGTTTTGTACATATCTCCACTTTAATTACGGATTTCCTAAGGGTACCCATTCATCTTTATGTTATCCATTGAATATTGTATAATGCCAGGTACTTACTGTGTATACTTAACACTAAAATAATTGTTGAATAAATGCTAGAACTGTTGCAAGAAAAATTAAAGAAATTAAGAAAGCTTGAGTCAGTTAACTAAGAAAAGCAAATAGAGCCCCAGAGGTGCCAGAGTTAGTGACTGCAATATATTCATATATATGTATGTATATATACATATCATATCTTTATTGTTTATATGCAAATTAATATACTTCCCTGTGCAAAATTTATTTATTAACCAAAGGCATATGACTTTATTGAACTACTACTGGGACTTTGCTGTTTGCACAGACCAAGAGATACTAAATGGGAAAAGGCATATTTCCAATATCTTATCCCTCATCAAGGACATCCCCAAACCCTAAGTAATAGCAATTTGACTTTCAAGGTACTCTCACTGCAAATATTTATTGAGTGTTTACTATAAAAGAGACAGTATTCTTGAGCAAGGAATATGTTGATGACCAAAATAAGTGTGCCCATGAATGAAAAGTTAATGTTACCAAGTAATACATGTAAGATTTCCTCTTTCATACAGTAATATATTTTAGTATCATATACCTTTCCAAACTGGCCTTAGAAGGGATATACCTCAACACAATGCCATATATAACAAACCCACAGTTGGTATCATACTGAATGAGGGAAGGTTGCAAGCCTTTCCTCTAAGATCTAAAACAAGCTTAAACGCCGACTTTCACCCATTTTATTCAGTGTAATCCTGGAAGTCCTAGCCAGAGCAATTAGGTAAAAGAAAAGAAAATAATAAAGGGTATCCAAATTGGAAAGGAGGAGGTTACATTATCCTTGATTAAAGATGAGATGATTTTGTGTATATTAAAAAATAAAACTCAAGATTTTGCAAAATAACTCTTGGAACTAATGAATGCATTCTGCTAAGAGAGAGCTGCCTAAAAAAGAAAGAAAAGTCCTATTATTAATAGCTACTAAGCATAAATTAAATCAAAGAAGTGGCAGATCTCTACAATTAAAACTATAAAACACTGATGAAAGAAATTGAAGAGGATGTTAATGAATAGAAATGTATTTTGTGTTCATGGATTGAAAATATTTATATTGCTAAAATATACAAGCCAAAGCAATTACAGATTAAATACAATCTAAATATCAATGTTACTCTTCACAGAACAAAAAAATCAAGTTAATTTTTACAGAATAAAAATCCATGAAATGTATGTATAGCCATCTGGTATTTGTAAATTCATACATTCTAATTTAAAAATAAATCTATCAGAAAAATTTAAAGTATTTTAAATTTTAAGCATCTTTTTTCATGTTTCTATGACCTCATAAAGTTTTCCATCCAAACTTCATATTGGACTGTTACAATTCCAAGAATAGAGTATAATTATTTATATTTTTTCCACTTAGACATATATATATTTATATATACTAGATCAATATTATATATTAGAGCAACAGCATATAAATAGCATCCAAATAAATTTCAACATCTCTTGTTTTGGCAGGAATTCAGTTTCATGAACAGCAAGCTTCTGTCTGGAATTATGCTCTACAGAAAGAAGCAAAACAGATTGGTATTCATTCACCATAATTACAAAGCTGAGAATGCTTATCTTTTGATAAGAATGGATAAAGGCCATCTGTAACAGATAACATGCAAATAAAATCTGGGAGTGGAGATTAAAACAGTCTCTTATAAAGCATCCGGATGGACAAATGATATAGATGAATTTACACAGCTCCCAAATGCTCTTCTATAATTAATCATCAAATAATACCTACAAATTCAGTAAAACTTTATTAGCTTTATATATTTAATATTTATATGAATGAATGTAGTATCCTTTATATATGAAGAATCACCCAGTACCCTAAGCAAAAACTGTGCTTTAAATTGTGAGTAGTATTTATCAATTTATGAATCACAACCTCCTAATTGTCCTCATAAACTGAAACAGGTCAAGGATGAACAGAAAGATAATTTTTAATTTAAAAATAATGAATGTAAGTTTACATTGTGATTGCTTAAAATTTAAATATTTTAATTTAAAAATTCAAATAACAGTATTTTGACAATGATTTTAAATGTGTAGATTTTATTAAAATTCTGTCTTTCTTCCTCTAAAAAGGTACTATGGTAATCATTCAGATCAGTAGATTATAAGAATTGTTTTATAATTGTTTGGTAATTCAAAACAATTACAAATGGCATTTCATAGATAGGTTTCTAGTCCATGATACAAAGCTGTTTCACATGTAATTATAAAAGCATACTATCACAACTGAAGAAGGTCATTGGGCCCTACTAATCACAAGTATCAAATTTTGTTTAAAAGTTGTAGAAATATTGCTCTAGGTCCTACATTTTCTTAGAAACATGGCTATATCATTTTGGTACCCAGTTTTAAAAGATATTACACATATGTGATGAGTACTTGAATGTATTCTTGCCCAATTTGATTAACCTCATAATTTCAGAAATTTTTCTCACTGGAAAAATAGTAGTTAAGTCCTACTTTCATAATTTCAATTTGTATAATATTCAGCAAACTGAAGTACACAATATTGAAGAAAATGCATTCTAATAAAATATTGTAAGAATCACTGTCAGTTAATGATTTTGCTATAATTAACAGAATAGCCTACTTAAAAATTACTTACACATTTAATATTCTTACACAAAAATTTCAGGAGGCAGTGTTATTTCAATTTAGTTCTGAGTCAAGTAGTATTATCAAGACTCAAGTAAGAACTTTGTACTTCTCTACTCCGTCATCTACCTCTCTGGTGATTGTAGGATGACCTCATAAGGCTTCATGTGTAGGCACCTCTCTATCAAGCAAAGGGTGTTTTATTTGCTCATCTCTTTTTATTTATTCAGAAATAATTTTCTTGGAAGCCTCACAAAAAGTTTTCCTGATATCCCATTGGCCAGATTTGGGGATATATTCAATGTTCTAGCTGAAATGAAGGTGAAAAAGTAAATATGAAGCACAGTCAAGCTTGACAAAAGGAATCAGGCTCTGCCAGCACAGAAGGACCAGAAGAAGGATACAAGTTGTGGAGTATTAGTTGTAAGTCTGTCATATTTTTGTATTTGTCTCATTTTTCTCTACATTGTTTTAAAAATCCTCTATCTACCTATTTACCCTCCATGAACACATTGACTCATAGAAGTATGAACATATGCATTTTCCTCCTGCAGTTAGTTACCTATACACAGGAAACACTTTATTATGACAGCATTTGTACAGATTTTATATTAGAGCTCTTAATTCTTGCTGAAATTTAGCAACAAGAATTGAGAAGTATTTCTTAGCATTTTCCAAAAACAATGAGCTAGCACAGATTTAATACTCTGAAAAAATGGTGCTTTTTTAGAAATATTTTTTAAAACTGATGAAATAGAATAAACTTTAAATAAATAGAAAGCTATCACAAGTTCATTTAATCTTAAAATATCCATATTACTCAAAGCAATCTACACATTTAGTGCATCTCTTTATCAAAATCCCAAGACATTTTTCATAATCATAAATTTGTGAAATTTGAAAAAAAATAGTTATAAATTTTATATGGTTCTGAAGAATACCTCAAACAGCCAAAAAAACCCTTGAAAAAAACCAATAAAGCTGGAGGCATCACACTATCTGTCTTGTAAATATAACACAAAGCTGTAGTAATCAAAACAACATGGTATGATACTGGCATAAAAAAAGAGACATGTAGACCAATGTAACAGGATAGACAGCTCAGAAATAAGTTCACACATATATAATCAACTGATTTTAGTAAAGGTGCTAACAACACAATGGGGACAGGACAATCACTTCAATAGATGTTGGATAATTGTATATCCACTACAGAAGAATGAAACTAGATCCTTATCTTACACCAAAACAAAAAATAAACTCAAATAGATTTGAAACTTAAACATAAGACCTAAAACTATGAAACTATTAATGAAAATATGGAGAAAAAACTATGTGATGTTATTTGGGGCAAGAAAATTTTTGTGTGTATTACCTCAAAAGTACAGGTATCAAAACAAATAAAAAGCTTTTGTACATCAAAGGAAACAATCAACAGAGTGGACAGACAACCTATGAAACTGGCAAGAATATTTGCAAACAACACATCTAATAATTACTGATAAGGAATTCATATCCAAAATGTTTAAGGAACTCAGCTCAATAGTAAGAAAACAATCTGATTAACAAATGGGCAGAGCCTGGGAATTAGCTCAGTAGTGCTGCTGCTTGCCTCACAAGTGCTAGGTCCTGCTTTCGATCCCTAGTACCAAAAACAAACAAACACAAATGGACAAAGGATCTGAGTAGACAGTTACAAAAGAAGAGATACAAAGGGCTAACAGTTATATCAAAGAATGTTTAAAATAATTAATCGTCAGAGAAATGCAAACTTAAATCATAATTATACATCACCTTACACCTGTTAGTATGGCTCTAACCAGAAAGTCAAAACATGGCAACTACTGGAGAAAATGTGGGAAAAAAAGGAACCCTTGTATAATGTTGGTGAGAATGTAAATTAGTGCAGTCATTATGGAAAACAACACATAGAATCCAGCAAAACTTTAAAACAGAACAATCCCTATGATCCAGTAATCCCGCTGATAGATATATTTCCAAAGGAAAGAAAGTAAGAATGTTGAAGTAGTATCTGTACTCCCATGTCCATTGTATCATTCTTCATAGTAAACAAGATATGGAATCAATCTAAGTTTTCATCAATGAATCACAGAGAAAGAAATGTGGTATATACACACAGTTGAATACTATCCAGCCTTAGAAATAAAGGAAATCCTGTCATTTCGGACAACATAGGTATACATAGTGGTTAAGTGATGTAAGTCAGGGATAGAAAAACAAATACCATTCATTCATATGTGGAATCTAAGAAAGTCAAAACACAGAAACATAGTAGAATGGTGGTTATTAATAGCTGAGTTGTGGGTAGGGATTTGAGAGAATTACTCAAAGGATACAAACGTCTCAGGGGGAATAAATTTAAGGGATCTAATGTACACTATAGTAACTAAGTAATACCTAATATGTTATATTCTTGAAAATTGCTAATAGTTTTTATTGACATAAAATAATTGTACCTATTTATGATATAGAGTGTGAGAATGTATATAATGTGTAATGATGAAGTCAGGGTAATTAGCATTTCCATCTCTTTGAGAATTTACCATTTTTGTGAAACTCCTTTCTTCTTCCTTATGAATATAATATATATATTATATATGCACAGTGATGCATAACTTCTGAATGCTTCTGTTCACAAACAATTCAGTTGACAAATAGAAGTGTTTGGCAAAACTTTGCTTCCTTTTGCAAACTTTGCATTGGGTGATGAACACGACCATGGCTGTCTTTTCCACACAAACATCATCCTGGCCACCTTCCCAAGAATCATGGAACGAATTAAGTTTGGGAACCGGGCATATATATTGGGGCATTGGAACACTGGAATATATTCCTCATATGTAACTGTATCTTATTACCTGGTGTTCAACCTCCTAACTCTATCCTCTTCCTCCTCCCATAATTTCTAGCCTCTAGTAACCACTATTGGTAAATGAATAGATTTTTTTCTCATCACAAAATAGTATGTGAACATACATGTGTGCACAACATAGCATGTGTATATACATATAACATATATATGTTAACTAGCTCAACATAGCCATTGCATTTTTAGTTATGAGATAAAAATAAATAATGCAAAAAAGGGAGGCAAGAGAGGAAGAAAAAAAGGAGAGAAGGAAAAGGGAGAAGAACAATTTGTTAGATTTGTGTATTTACTTTTAAGTTAGTTAAGAAAAATATATAACCATTGCCAGCATTCCTAAAGTCAAATATTAAAAGATGATAAACATTTTGTTTCACTTTATTCATTTTTAAGAGCTACTATATTAACTCTTCCATCTTCAGTAGTTTTAAAGTTTTTAAAGTTATGCACAATTTTGTACATGATACAGTGCAGTTTTTTAAAGAATTAATATTCAACATATAGGTAGTTAATTAACACAGTCCAATTAATTCAAAGTGATGGAAAATTTATTATATTGTTACAAAATAATGAGGCAAAATCAAGTGCATTTAGATTTTACATGTGTATAAAGATAGCTACTTTTTAAAATACTACTGCAACATTTTCCTTAAGTCTCATGTTTTCTCAAAAAGAATACTATTTAACTTTAATATAGCTATGTGTGTGAAAAATCAGGTTTTTTGTTCCAACTAAATTCTGGCCAATTTATGCATTGTTATTTACACCTCTTTTTCCTCATGTATGGAAAAATATGTTAATTTTGGGAAATAACAGATTCCCTTTAAAATGCATATGCTGAAAATATTGTTTCTTTCATTTTCCCTTAGGACACAGATATTATTGTATCTGGTTCAAGAAAACAGTATGGCTACTAGAATGCAAGCACATACTTCCCAAAGAAACTCAGGATAGTCAACTGGATTCTAAAGGTTCTACCTTTCTGTTTAATCAAACTAAGCAAAATGATTGCTGAAAACAGTATAAGGACTTACAGAAATGACAGACAGAGTAATTTGACCCTGGAAACAACACACATTCACAAGATTTTCAACCATGGAGAGTCACAATCACCAAGTGGTTTTAGACTACAACCTAATTCACTAAACAATAAAGGAAATGACCTATCCTTAAAGTAAAGTTGACATTATTGAACTATTGTCAATAGAAAATGAATTTTGATTAAATGCTCACAGCAGGGACTTAGGAACCCACAAGCCAACATTTCTAAGGAGGTTTATTCACATTTTATTAACTACAAAGCACATGTACTTGCCTTAAACTTTCAATGCAATGGAAAGATGACTCAGTGTTTAAGAAAGACAGCTAGAAGGTACTTTTATCTTGTAATAGTTTATTTTCTTTTAACTTTTGCCTCTCTCTTTGTTGAGAAGCTATACTTAAAAGTTCAAGAAACTATATAATATTCAACAAATGAATATTTTCTCTAAATTGAATATCTGGTTTAATTATATATAGTGAAAAAACAATTTCAAAACTGCTTAGCTGTTTTTGGTAACAGTCTTTAACACAACTGTGGTAAATTCACAAGCAGATATTCCAGAGCTTTTTTAATTTCTGTGACCTTTTCAGTCTCTGTCCTTACCTTGTTGGCATAGCCAAAGTTCTGAGTTCTATTATTTTTTTTTAGGTCTAGTGATTTGTGTAAATCTATTACTCTCATTTAAACAAAATTTGTGGATAGGGAAAAGTACAAAATTATGTAACTCATACAATATCACAATGTATAACATTGACATTAAGCAATGATAGTAATCTATTTCCTTTTACCGTGTTTTACAAATAAGAACATGAAAAGGAAACTCAAAGCTATGATCTTTTCCTTTTTATGTAACTTTAAAGCCACAAACAAATAAAAAAGTAATATTGCAGAGTTGAACAGATCCATAGGTAAAATTTGATGTAATTTCTTAATTTTATGGTTCACCAAAGTGAAGTCAAAAAGGGAAGCAAATGAAATTTGACTTCTCCACAGTGAATAAAAATGCATGGGCTCATAATTCTACAAAAGAGAAAGCTGTGAATTTTCTATTTGACTTTTATTGCTTACTTTGTGCAGGGTGTATGGAATAGTGGAAAAATTTAAATTCTGCCTGTTTCAATGGAATGTATGGGAATAACAGTGTCATGATCAGATAATCCCATTAGCTCATGTATTATAAAGTGAGGTAAGCACTAAAGAAGAGATACTGATGAGACAGAGCCTATCTTAGGTCCATGAAAGGCATTACATGCTTGAGGGGAGATCTGAAGTATGTTCAGGTATAAAGGGTTTTGGAAGGTGGTTTTAATTTTGTTAGAAAGAAACACACTCCCTTTGTGGGGAGAAACATCAGAATTTAAGGACAAAAATTAAAACAGATCAATAGAGATGAGCCAATGTGAAGACAGGAAATAGATTGAAGAAATGAACAGAGCTTCAGAGCTTTATGGACAGTATCAAAAGTTCTATCCTATGCCCCAAAAGAGTGAGGCAAAACAAATATTTGAAGAAATGATGGTGAAGAAATTGGGTGAATTATACAAGAGTCAAGAAACTAAACAAACTCCATAGAAAAACACAAGTACAAAGAAATGGTCACCTGGTCATATCAATGTAACTATAGAAAATCAAAGATAAAATGATAATCTTCAATGTCAGCCAATAAAAAGCAACACATTCATTGCGTCTAGAATAATAACTCAATTATTTTAGTTTTCTCATCAGAAAGAGAAAGCCAGAAGTCAGAGGGACAGTATCATCTGAAAGTTCTAAAAGTGTATACTAATTTCTACTCTTTTGTTTTTTATCCAATTATTTTGAATTTACTTAATTATTTTTCTACTTCTTACAGTGGATAGTATATCATATTGCTTTCTAATTTTCTTCATCCTCAATAAAGAGAACCATTAAAAGGATAAATATTGGACCAGGGATTTAGCTCAGTGGTGCTGCTGCCTGCCTCACAAGTGCAAGGTCCCAAGTTCAGTTCCCGGTACAAAAAAAAAGGATAAATATTTATTTTTCTACATTGTAAAAATTCTTGTATAAAACATTTTTGTTATCAACTTGCTCATAGTACTAATTCCCATTTTTAGTTTACTTAATGCATGAATCACTTAGTACTCTGCTTTTAAGTTTTTCAATTATATTTTAAATAATAATTCACTTTAATTTTAGTTTAATTTAATGTTGGTTCAAAAATGGTAGATCTTAATGAGTCTTAGGATGTACTGATACCTGTATACGGCCATACCACCCTGAACGCGCCCGATCTCGTCTGATCTCGGAAGCTAAGCAGGGTCGGGCCTGGTTAGTACTTGGATGAGAGAATGTATTGATACCTATTTTTGAATATATCGATTTGTAATTTTTATCGATGATTTATTACTGAGAATAATGTGAATGCTATAATTGCCAGGTACAAGCTAAATATATATTCATTAGAACAAACTTGTTTACTACTGGATTAAATCTTGTATTTCTGTACTAAAGGGTAGCCAAGCCAGACAAAAATCAAACAGTAAGTGTGTAATTAGTTTTTTCCTATAATAGTGTATTTGCCAATTGTTCAGTGTAATTCTGTCAAATTTTTGCTTCATAAATAAAGATTATATTATTAGTAGCATACAAATTAAAATGCCTTATATTCATTTATAACTTTCTTTTTTGTTGTTGGTTTTGGTTTTGGTTTTGGGTTTTTTGGTACTGAGGATTGAACCCAGGGTCTGCACGCTGATCTGTCTCTGCTCACCTTAAGTCACTAAACTGCCCTGGCTGGGCTCAGATTTGCAATCCTCCTGCCTCATCCTTTCAATGTGTTGGGATTACAGGCATGCACCACCATGCCTGACTTATATAATAATTTATTTTCTATTGGTGCTAACAATAAAATTTTATGTAGTCTATGTAAATTAGATTCATTTGTGTGTTAATATCTATTCTAGTCCTTTAATTTTATCCTACAAACTTATAATTTAGTATATTGCTTTAACCTTTTATAGTTGGACTTAATTTTTTTAAATCTAACTTGCTAATTTTCCTTTTTAATCAAAAGTTTTGTGCATTCATGTTATTGTATTTAATTACATATTTGGATTTAATTCTATTATTTTATTGTTCACTATTCTTTATCCCTTGATATGCTTCTTTTAATTTCCTATATAGTATTTGCTAAATACTGGATTGAGGTTTTTATACTTAGCATTTTTTTTTCTAAAGATGTGAACATTTTGTTTGTTTCTATTTTTTCAGTGCTTAAATATACAATTCTAATATACACGTTTAATAAAACCCAAGGTTAAACACTACCTCAGCCCTAATTACTCTAAATCCCACAAGTCACTTTTCATTTAAAATTTTATTTGGGGGCTAGGACTATAGATCAGTGGTTGAGCATTTGCCTAGCATGAACGAAGCCCTAGGTTTAATTCCCAGCACTACAGACAAATAAATAAATAAAGTGCTATTTTTGCCTAGAATGGTGCTACCACTTCTCCAATTCCAAGTAGTATAGTGTATGGTTTTATTGTATTTAATATGATCTCAATTTTCTAATTTCTACATTTACTCTTTCTTCTGAGACCCTGGTAATTCCTTCTGAAATTTCTATATTCCTTCCACCTGAATATCCCTTAATATTTCTTTGGTGAGTTGCCATTAATGGCAACATCTTTCAAATTTCATATGAAAATGTTTACATTCTCTTACTTCTCAGTATTTTGAAGTTATTTCATTTCCACTATTGCTCTTGAAAAATAAGCTAATTAGTATTCCTAAGTAGATTTTTTTCCTTTTGTCTGCTTTTAAAGTTCTTTGTTCCACCTTTTCAGCCAGGCATGGTGGCACACACCTATAATCCCATCACTGTACAAGGCTGAAGCAGGAGGGTTGCAAGTTCAAACCCAACCTAGGTAACTGAGTCACTTTGCAAGACCCTAATGTAAAATAAAAAGTGTTTCAAAAAAGGGCTGAGGCTATACCTCAGTGTGAAGACCCCATATTCAATTCCCAGTACTGGAAAAAAAAATTGTTATTTGTTTCATTAGCATTTGCCTCAGTGTAGCTTAACATAGATTTCTTCTTATGTACCTTGTATTTCTTTGGGGGGGGCGGAGGGTACTGGGGATCAAACTCGGGTCCTTGTACTTGTGAGGCAGGCGGCAGAACCACTGAGAACCTTATATTTCTTAAATACATAGATTCATTCCTCAAAAGATTCTTGGCAATTTCTAACAAAATATATACTTGGGGCTGTACCTGTGATATTTAATGAAATGTATTTTGACATTCTACTTTTGGTGTGTCCTAACTTCTCCTTATTTTCTATCACATTGTCCATTTATTAACTCTAAAGAACTTTACCAAGTTTATTCTTCAGATCAATTCTGCATTATTTATGTCTAACATGCTGTCTGACTTTTTTGCTGACACTGGGAGAATGCCGCATGATAAGCAGAGTTATGCTGTCATGGCCAAGGAATACAAAAGATGGACAGAAAATCACAAGAAGCTAAGTGAGAGGCCTGGGGCAGACTTTCCTCGGTGGTTTTTAGAGAGCAGCAATCCTGCCACACTTTGACTACTCAATTTCAGCCTCCAGAACTGTGAGACAACAAATTTCCATTGCTGTAAGCCACCTAGACTTTGGTGCTTTGCTGTGATAATCCAGGGGAAACCCCAGATTTTGATTATCTTTTTTTTTATTTTTTGAAGTATTTGATTTTAAAAACTCTGTCTTTTAAAATAAAGGTCTCATTTATTTTATCTATGTTGGTTCTACATTTGAAAATGCATTTAAAGAATACTTAGAATATATTCTGTATAGAATTCTAACATCTTTAACTCTTGGGGGGCAAATTCTATATTCTGCAGTCTAAGCTGGATCCTAGTTATAGGGGTTTTTTAAATTTATAATTTCAAATTGCAGGTGAAAGTTCAATTTTAATTTCTCTATTGGAATCTTGGGGGCCTATATTGAGTGTATATCACTTCAAAGAGAATTTGCATCAGCTACGGCCAGTCACCTTCATGTGCTACCAAATCTAATTCATTTACAACATGAGAATGAAAATATATAGTGAATATTTAAATTTGAAAATTTTATTACAATAAAAGACATGCTGATCCCCCTCAAAAAATCTCCCCTGCTTCAAACACACTTATCCCATTGTTCTTTTCACTTTCTGAAGCTGTTCTGGAAGTCCTCTTTCGTGAATGTCTTCACAAGATGTTACTAAAAATATGGTAAATGCTGCTGCTGAATGTCATCCA